TCTGGCCGCTCCCGGCCACCGCAGCCTCGACCTGCTGGGCTCTGGCGATCCTTCCGCCTCAGCCTTCCGAGTAGCCAGAATTACAGGCGCGTGCTACCACGCCCGGCTAATGCTTTTTGATTTATTGTAGAGATGAGGTCTCGCTGCCCAGGCGGGTCTCGAACCCGCGGGCTCAGGCAATCCACTCACCTCAGCCTCCCAAAGGCGCAGGATTACAGGCTGAGCCACCGAGCCTAGCTTGGCCTAATATTTTTAATGTTTAAACCTCTAGTACTTAATTGATATAAGAGTGAACACAAATTTTTATATCCTTCTCTCAAATATGACAAGATAATTAGCAAAAGAGTTAACTTTAATCCTCTACTTTTCTTAGTCCTTGCCACTTCTCCTGAGATTACTGGGGGTTGTCATTCCACATAACTGCTTTGTAATCTAAAATTACAAGACTTCCTTATACTTTTATATTTTATTTTGGTGTGGCTAACACTTAAAAAAATTTTAGATTTATTTTACTTTTTATTTTTTTCAGAGCTGGGTTCTTGCTGCATTGCCCAGACTGGAGTGGCTATTCACAGGCACTATCAGAACACACTCCAGCCTTGGACCCCTGGCCACAAATGATTCTCCTGCCTCAGTTTCCTGAGTAGCTGGGACTATAGGCATGTGCCACCATGCCTGGCTAGATTTACTTATTTCACTGGAATAAACCTTTAGGATTCTTTTCAGATAAATTCATGAGTGGTAAATCTGAATACTTCCTTGATTGTTTGAAATCTTTATTTTGCCCTTAAACCTGAATAATAACTTGGGTGTAGGATTCTAGGCTCACCATCCACTTTTCTTACAGAAACTTGAATGTCTTGGGTTTCACAGCTGGCCTGGCCCCTGAACACGTGTAATTGTACCACAGTGGTGGAACGATTCCTGCTGTTATGACCTGCTGAAGTTCATGGGTTCTACCACATCTTTCAATCTTAAGACTTCTTTATAAAATTGTCCCGATTATGAAAGCACTCCCTCTTCTAAGGATAAAAACATCTTACATTTCCTTATTTTGTATTTTTATTTGAGTAGGGGTCTTACTCTGTTGGCTAGATTGGAGGGCAGTGGCACAGTCACTGCTCACTGCAGTCTTGACCTTTTGGGCTCAGGAGATTCTCTCACCTCAGCCTCCTGAGTAGCTGGAAAATACAGGTGTGAGTCACTGTGCCTGGCCTATTTTTATTTTTTAGAGACAGGGTCTTGTTCTGCTGCCCAGGCTGGAGTACAGTGACACTTGTGGCCTCAAGTGATCCTCCTGCTTCAGCCGCTAAAAATGTTGGCATTACAGACATGAGCCACATTACTTTCTAATATACTTCCTTAATTCTTATAATTTATCCTACCTGGAATTTGCTTTTGTAAGTGTGTGAAGCAGAGGTTGAAATTTCTTGTTCCCAAATGTCATGGCCATTTTCTGCTCCACTATTTTGAAATATAATATTTCCTAAACTCCCAAGCATAGTAATGCTACACTGATGTGTATCAATGGAAAGTCCCCCAAGACTTAGTAAATTAGAAAAAAAGAGCAAGTTACAGAACCATACATAAGTTTGGTGGTATTTATATCTAACAAAGCAAAACAAACCCCACAACATGTTTTTGCACAAGCACACACAGGTGTAGTTGTATGGTCTGTGTATAGTTACACAGAAAAAAGGTTACCATACTAATATTGAATCTAAGAAGGACAGTGATTAAAGTAGGACTTTTGCTCTATCTGTATTTAGATGTAACCACAAGAATATATTTGGGTAATACACAACTGATGAGCTGTAGAAAACCCCAGGCAGCAGTCTTTCTGCTTTTCCTTGGGTAGCTACATCATTGTTCTGTTGACTGACGACCTTTGTTCCTCAACCCTAATAGGGTCGCGCTGTGCCTGATATTTACATACTATCATTAGTCTTTTCTGTCTAGTTAGATCTGGCCTAACAGTCCTGAATCCAAATTCCTATGGAACGTTCTCAGACATGTCCAGTTTGGGTCAAGTGCCCATTCCTGGCAGATCAATTGGGGGTTGGCAGGCAGGTAACACGGTACGAAATGACTGGAGAGGATTATCTCCATTTTACCCTTCAGAAAGACAATATTCAACTAAGTAACCTCTCCAGGGTCACACAACTTTTAGGAGAAGGGAGGAGCTTGAGATTTTGGGATGTAGGTCTGTTGGACGCTCATACTTAGCATCACATTCTCAGAGACATTTAGCCTGGGACAAACCTCCGTCAGAGACATGACAGATGTCTTAGGCATCAGAAAAGGAGCTAGACCTTTGGTTGTAAATGTTAGAACTAGGAACACTCAGGGACAGATTGTTCCCTCAGTTAAGGGGGGGGGACACACACTCTAAGAAACTTGTTCAAACATAAAAGCTTGTATCTTGAGTTCTCTTTCACTGCGGTATTTCAAGCTATATTGTATAGACAAATGAATCGTGGTCAGGCTATTAAAAAAACAGAGTGTGTGACAGCTTGGACTTTATTTCAGTGTGGCATATTTTGGATCATAATACAAAGTATGAAAAAAACAACTAAAGAACACAGACCTGTTAAAGTAGAAAACAATTAGGCAACATTTTAGATTGAAGATCCTTTTCAAAAAGAAAATATGCCATTAAGTACATAATGTAAGTGTCAAAAACTTTAAGTCAAATCTTACTACAGTGGATTTCAAAAACAAAGTTCAAATTCATTCACTATGGTAAAGTGCACTGCATAAAATACTTGTTGAAATAAATGTCACTGGAACAACATTATATAGATATTTTTATTGTATGTATATTAGGTATACAGTTAAAAAGGAATATGAATCCTACTCTCTAGAACATGAGACAATACACAGAACAAAGTTATCATACAAATGAATATGTGATCGTCAACCATATTCATATTACATACAAAATTTTATAAATCATCTTTTATAATGAAAAATTGTTTATATTCAAGGAACACAGTAAAATAGCTGACAAAATGCATCTATCTTAAAGAAGAACTAAGTCTGCTAAGACTGACAAGGCAGGATTAGCTATCTGAGGTGCAGAAGGGCAACTGCTGCTGTGACATGAGCGTTAGTGAAGGAACACCCTCCCACGAACACTTAGGATGCCTAGGTACTTGACCAACTTGAGACCTGAGGGCAAGCCAAAGCCACACAAAACAAAGCCAAATACCCTAGGAGTGATGAAAACCACTTTCCTAGCAAGCTTTATTTCTCTTCTGTTGCTTCAGCTTTGTACATCGGACACAGTGCTGCATTAGGGCGACAAACAAAAGCATCGGTTTCACATCCCAACTCTGTTAACTGTTCCAGTGAAGACACACATGGATAATGGTCTTTTAACATATCTGGCAATTTAGAAGTTTTCTCTTGAAGACGTCGAGACCGTCTCACTGGTGTTAAAAACTTCAGCTCTTTAAATGCAGAATTTGCTTCATCAAATTGCATCTTCTTTTTTACACTGAAAAAACCAAGAAATTATCCCGAGTCCAAAAACATGTTAACAACATTTGTACTTTCGTGCTATTTGTCATACTCTAACTTGTATATTTCAAGCATATGATTGACTGTCTTTTAGAAATGGAGAGGTATTGTACGCTCCTTGAAGTGAGGAACTGTTTGTTGTTACAGGTTTATACAGTAGATAATCTAGTATTTGTAGAACTGGCTAATTCCTCAATTCCAAATGCTATTGTTACTAGTAACACGAGGGGATTAAAGTAAAATCATATAAAACTTTTATTTTTCAAAAGGGCAGTATTTAGGGAAAGCAAAACAAATACTGTATTTACAAGGTGAAATGTTCCAATGATATTCCATTTGCTTGAAAACTTTTCTGTTAGCAAATGGCAGTTGTAATCTGAAACCGTCGCAAAGATTTAAAAATACCATATTTATTATCCCTAGGCATGAGAGCAAATCATAGCACATAACATTTTAAAAGTTTACCTTTGCAAGTTTGGTGTAGTGGATACATAATATTTAATGAAGCAGCCTGCTCTAGTTTTTGTATTGGGGGTTTTATCATCATTGGTTGGATCTTTTGTTTTGTCATCTTGTGCTTTTTTACCACCTTGAAATAGCACATCTCTATGATATTTATTCTCCACTGGCTCTAGATTAACACCTATACCTCTGATGTTGACTTCTTGAACTTGTTCTTTGGTTGCACAAGCCTCCTCAATATTTTGTCCTATAGAAAATACATTTGTAGATTAAATTTTTGGCCAAATTTTAAGAACAAAAATAGAAGACATTAGTTATTCTTAGTTGATCAAATTTTCAAAATAAAAGAACAAAACTGCCATCTCCTAACCATTACTTTTCCTAAGCAAATACTACTGCCAACTACTTAATAAATATTTACTATTGCCTCTTGTCAGAAATTAATAGATACAATTATAACAATAAAATTCCTGTCCCTTAAGAAGTTTATATTCTATGGAAGAGACTCACTTGAAAATGATTAATTATAAGATGAGATAAATATTATAAATGAAACAGGAACTAAAGGTTATTAAAATCTACAAAAAGGAAAAACTAACTCTGCTTGTTGGTACAGAGAGACAGATAGGGAAGGTTTCCCAAGTGAGTTAGGCTGGGTCTGGAAAAATGAGTACTTGACAAGACCAAAGAAGACAATCTTGGTAAAGCAAAAAAGAAAATTACCCATTAAGATAATGTTAAAGAGTTGGTGTGTTTAGAATATAGGGCAAGAAGCACAGTGAGAGTGAAAGAAGGAGGTGATGAGCTTAGATAGGCTGTACTGTAATAAGCTTTACATGCAACAAGTTTGGTAAAAAATCATTGGAGATAGAGACATGGTTAGATTTGGTCAATGTGAGGGATTGTTTAGAACGGGAGGGAATTAAAAGTAAAGATCTGTGTGGTTAGAAGACAAAATTGTAACAACCTAAGCAAGTTAGGAAGAGGCCAATCTGAAAAATATTTCTGAGTCAGAACTTAATGAACAAATGAATACGTGTCTGTGTCTGAAAGAGTGTGCCTGTGTACTGGCGGCATCTCTTCTGAAATTTCTTGCTTAGGAGTTGTTGATGCCAGAGGAACGCGTTCTCACTTCTTTCTTGCTGGCAAAAGGGATGACGGGTATGGAGAAGCAGTGAGGGAAGACAAAGACTTCAAAATAATATATGTTAGATGTGCAATGCATAAGAGACATTCCGTTAAGTCCATTGAGCTGAAAGGACCTCTGGATTTAATTATTAGGGAATTTTTACTAAGAGATGTTTTGTTGCATGATAACTGACTGTGTTTTTTTTTTTTTAGTGAGTGGAAGTCGAAAAGGGGAGAGAAAGAATATGAATATAATTCAACAAATAGTTAAGTGCCTAGTATATGCCATGTATTGCACTAGTACTAGGGATACAATGGTCAGACAAGGACAGATCCTTGTCTATGAGTTGACAGCACAAAAGAGAGGACAAATAAGTAATCAAAGGCATCAAGTATTATACAGGAAAAAAACCAGGGAGCACAAAACAGATGCACCTAACTTAGGGTGTGGGAGAAGGAAGGTATATCAGGGTAGTTAACAGGGAATGCTACTCCAAGGTAGTGACATGTGAATTGAAGTCTGAAGGATTACTAGGAGTTGGGTTAAGAAAAAGCAGAAGAGTGGCTTGGAGAGACCTAGAGGGAAAATATAGCATAACTTCTTCTAGGAAATGAAAAAAAGAAAAGAAAAAGATTTAAGGACATAGGGGAGAGTGACAAGAGGCTGGAGTCAGGTATCTAAGCAGACAAGTAGCAGAGTATTCTGGCTGCAGTTCTGAAAATGGGTTGGAAGGAAGCAAGAGCAGAGGGGCAGGAAGCAAAGTTTGGAGACTACTGTTGTAGTCCAGGTGAGAACTGTAGGTCATCTTGACTAGAGTGATGAGAATGAGGATACAGAGATGTGGATGGTCTTTAAGATTCTGATTTGGACAACTAAATAGTGCCACTCATTGAGACAGAGAACCAAAAAAGTATCAGGTTAGGGAAGAATGATATGTTCAGGTTTGGATATCTGAGGTAACCGAGAGACAACCAAATGGTGTTTGTCTTTGTTATTATTTGTCTTAGATATCCCACTTTCTTTTTTTCTACCTTCTCCTAAATGACTTCAACCACTTGTTTTCCTGCTGTTTACAAGTAACTCTGATCTTTATTTTTATTTTTTAATATATATTTTTTATTTTAAAACTGTGGGGTACAGTTAAGGTTTAGGTATACAAATATGCCTTGTGCAGGTACCCTTGTTGATGAGGTGTAACTCTGATCTTTAAAACTGGTTTTCTATTCAAAGCTTAAAATTATACATTTCAGAAAGCTACGGTAGCTTTATTTCACTCCCATTTAAAGACTAATAAATATTCTACCTGCTAGAAAACAGTAATAGATTAAAATAAGACAGGGAGAGTAACTTAGATTAAATACTGGTTTTATCTCTCCACACATCTCTAGAACCAGTAAGAATAATAGGAAGAATGCTGCATTTATGGAATTTTAATTTCTGCTTTGCTGTTTTTTGTGAATAAGAAACAGGACTGGGTTATTCTTAAACTTTTTCCTCCTTTTGTTTGTGGCATACTAGTCTTTCCTGGGTTTCCTCTTCTCTTCCTGATCATTCCTTCTCTAGCTCCTTCATTAAGTTCTATGACTAAGATCCTATTATACTAATAGTTCCCTGATACATATTAATAGTCACCACAAATTGAAATAATCCCTGTTGAACGAAGAATATTGCCAACAGAAGGAGGATTTTCTCCAGCACAACCATTAGTATAGTCATTAGTATATGCATTAGCAAATTAGCCCCACTTTTTTTGGTATTACATATAACCAAAAACTTACATAACACACTTACTTTAGAATTTCAGTATCTTTGATTTTATTTAAAGTTTAGCCCTTGACTCAGGTCTCAACATTTCAAATTCATTTTGTGTACTAAAAATAAGGGTGCTATCACTGCTCTGAAAAGCAATTTGGCAGCATATATCAGGAGTCTTAAAAAGTTCAAGCTGTTTGGCTCTTGCTAAAATTATTCAAAAGATGATAAAATACAGAAAATATTATATAATATGCACTCAAATATTTGCTGACTTGGTGATATATGTTATAGCAAAAAATTGAAAGAATTTTCCTCAACACAAGTACAGATTAATACTAATGGCTAAAGTTTAATTAATTTACTATGTGTCACAGACTCTGATAGCTGCTCTATAAACATTATTTTATTCAATGGTCCCAATAATTACCATTATACACATAAAGAAAGGGCTAATTTTTTGCCTAAGGTCAGAGTAATTGGCACAACCTTTATCTAAATCTAGAAAATGTTTGTACATTTTATATCACTAACAGCTCATCTCTTTTTTCACCTCCACCTACTATCCCTAGCAAAAAGAATTCTTGAATGAGTTTTTCTAGAGTATAATGTACATTTGTATACCTAACCCTGAATTGTACTCCACATATTTAAAATAAAAAAATTATTTTTTAAAAAAGGATATAATAAGCAAAAGGTCTTTAGGGATCATCTAATCAAGTTGCCTTATTTCCAGGATAGGAAGTTAAAGCCTAGGGAGGCAAAGTTACTTTCACAATGACAAATTTTGCTTATGAACCAGATCTCCTAATTAAAAATTCTTTATACTGCATAAATCCACTTTATCTCAGAGGCAGGTCAACAGAAGTATGAGGAAAGAAACAACCTACATATTTTGAAAGTTAAAAAAGATAAAAGGAAAACACGAATTCAGCAAAGAAAAATTTAAAAAATTGCAATTCACTTGAAGGAAACAAAAGAAACCATGACTTACCAAAATTGACTTTTTCTTGATTCTTCATTGTTAGAATATCTACAATTGTATGTCGTAACTCTTCAATAGGCTTAATTTTTGTAATGAAGAAAGCAGACTCATGTAAGTTTTATATTCTCAGACATTAACTAGGTTGTTCAAGTTAAACACATTAAAACCTAGTGATTAGAATTTCATACTGTATTCTAAAATAAAAACATTCTTAAACTATGTTTCTCACAACACTTACAACTAAGACTGAAAAGTGGTAGTCTTTCCCAATTTATAGATTAAAAATGAACTTACAGGATAGAATTTCATCAGTTTAAAATTTCCCTCTATAATTTTTCTTAAGCCTTTGGTAACTATTGCTGCTTGCCTGATATGAACAAAATTAATGACTAGATGGCAAATTCATATTATTAATATGTATTAGAGAGTTGATTATATTTAGTTTATCAGTTCCTTTTCTCCTACATTTAGGTCCATGCTAACTTTCACATGCTAGTAAAAGTATTTCTGAAGAGCTTAAGGTTGATCAATCCAATATATTTAATTCATTCAAACATTTACTAAGTGTCCATTATTTGCCAGATATCATAAGCACCTACAATGTTCCAACACATTTCAGATTAGGGAAACTCTGGTTTATATTCATAGTCTTAGTTCTAGAAATTAGTCCTGAATTACTTAGCTATTTTGCTTTCAGTTTTCTTAGTTAATGTTTTTTGAGATGAGGTCTTGCTATGTTGCCCTGGCTGGACTTGAACTCGTAGGCTCAGGCAATCCTGCAACCTCAGCCTCCTAAGTAGCTGAGACTACTGTACCCCACTGTACCCAGTCATCTTGGCTAATTTTGATTCTTATTTTCCAATTTCTGCTCTGGTATCATATCTTTCCCTTTATATTATTGTTTTCTATGTGAACCTTGGTTCCTACTTTGCATCCTATCCTCACTGCCATTAACTGCCTTAAGTAATGTCCTTCTGGTGCAATGTAGTAGGGACCAAATACTTCCTTCCAGTTGCCATTCTGTCAGATCTAATTATCCTTCTAGAAAGAGTTTATACATAATAGCCACTGAAAGACCATCTGCCAAACATTCAATTTTTTTTATTCAGGTGAAAAGTCAAATAATATTTGTTGTCTTTGCTGAGACTAAAGTGAATAGATTTTTCTTTTTAAAATAGGCTAAAAAGAGGCCGGGCATGGTGGCTCAGCCTGTAATCCCAGCACTTTGGGAGGCCGAGGCAAGAGGATTGCCTGAGCCCAGGGGTTCAAGACCAGTCTGGGCAACTTGGTGAGACCTCGTCCCTACAATAAACCATAAAAATTAGTCAGGCGTCGTGGTGTGAGTCTGTAGTTCCAGTTACTTGGAAGGCTGAGGCAGAAGGATCGCTTGAGCAGGTCGAGGCTGCAGTGTTGTGAGTGTGCCACTGCACTCCAGCCTGGGTGACAAGTGTGAGACTCTAACTCCAAAAAAAAAAGGTTAAAAAGAGAAATTTTTAAAAATTGGCTTTGTAAACAATCTCCAAGAATGTGTTTCTGAGAAACTTGGTCAAAAGGAAATATATTTTAGAAACATTTATCCATCAAAACAAAAAAACCTAACAACAACAACAACAACAAAAAACCTGTCAAGAAGTGATTTATTCTATACCCAAACCTTTGTTTGAGGGGGAACCAAAAAACCACAGAATTATCTTTTGGAGGGCAGGCCCCCTGTAGTACACTTCCCCCACTAGGTAAGTGTTCTAGGAACCCATCGGTTTTTATCTGGAAGTGTTGAGAAGGTCGCATCCTGATTTGTGGAAGAAATATCCTGAGTTGTAGAAAATAAGTGACTGCTTCTTCCACCATGACAATACACCTGCCCATACCACACTGAGTACTCGGCAGTTTTGGACCCAAAACAGCATGACCCCATGCCCTACTCTCTCTGTTCACCTGACCTCACCCTGAGCAACTTTTTTGTTTCCTTGGATGAAAAAAATCCTCAGAGAAAAACCGTTTTGCTGATGGAAGAGGTGAAACAAAAAATGGCAGAAGTACTAAAAAGCATTAAAATGATAAGTTCAAAAACTGTTTTGAGCAGTAGAAAAAGTGCTGCGATAAGGTGTGTTGCACCAAATGGAGAGTACTTTGAAGATGACTTAAATTTAAACATGGAAGAACACACAATTTTTATAAATAAATTCTGGATTTTTTTTCGAGCCCCCTTTTGTATATCAATAGATTAGCAGAGGAAAGAGGTATGATATCAAACCACCATGGAGATAAAAATGTTACAGAAACTAGTTTATTATCATTTTCTATTTGTAGGCAAGACTAATTTTTTTAACAGCAAATGAGTCTTTATTAAAAAATTATACTGAGCCAAAAAACAAGCATAGTATAAAATTTCATTTATACCAAACTGTAATAAAGTAAAATATCCAATATGGTGACAGAAATCAGGTGTAACACAAAGTCAGGAATGGGGGTGATGAATTGCATGGCCCGTGAGCAACTTCTTAGCATGGTGAAGATATTAACTATATTGATTATTATAGTGATTTTCTGGGTGCATACCTTGATAGGACCAATTTGTATAGTATATAAATATGAGTGTCTTCAGGTATACCCCTACGGTGAAAGAGTTCTTTCATAAAACCATCAGTGCTTGATAACATTTTAAAAAGTGAATTTAATTTCATTTGTTTTATATTCAGTAAGAAAATTCTAATATTAATATTTCAGCCTCCTAGTAAGTTTCTCAACCAGGTAATATACATAGTCACATGTGCTAAAATGTTTCTCACTTTAAATATATCTCATTCATTTAAATTAAATGTAAATTAATAAAATTTAATAAAATTTACATTTCAACTTATATCTACTTTCTAAAGTCTGATGATCCCTAGGATAGGAGCACAAGTTTTAGAAGGCTGAGAAACAGATTTTTATAATGCAATCCTTATGGTCTTTATTTATTTATTTGAGTTGGAATCTCACTCGTGTTGCCCAGGCTGGAGTGCAATGGCATGCTCATGGCCACTGCAGCCTCAAACTGCTGGGCTTAGACAATCCTTCCACCACAGCCTCCCAAGTGGCTGGAACTATAGACACAGACCATCATGCCCGGCTATTTTTTGTGATTTATTGTAGAGACAAGGTCTCACCAAGTTGCCTAGGCTGGTCTCGAATCCCTGGGTTCAGGTAATCCTCTCACCTCGGCCTTCCAAAGTGTTGGGATTATGGCTGAGCCACTGTGCCCGGTCTCCTTGTGGCCTTTACGCATTTATTACTACCACACAACTGCAATTCTCTCAAATTACACTGTGATACATTTCAAAATAATTCCAAATTGTCTACACTGAATAACAAAGATCAGATTGGGCCCCCAAAAGTGTCAACCAGAGCAGCAACAGCCAGGGCCCGCCCCAAGATGAAGTTCAAGCCCAACCAGATGTAGACCTGAGGTAAGTCATTTTAGTACAAATTAGACATAGATCTGTTCTTATAAGAAGTTTAAAAATAGGAGAAGCATTTAGATATTCTTCCTTATCAGCAGGCTAGGCCTGACCACTCTGAGGGCTGGAATGTGGACCTACCAGTGCAACCCAACCTTTCAGTTCATGGTTAGCATTATAATCATTGTAAAAGGCAAACATGTTTTCAGGAAAAGCCCACCCCGTCAGCTCATCAAAGGTGGAAAAATGGCAATCAGCCCACCTTAGCTCATACTTAGCATAAAAGTCTATCAAGGAAAAGACCACTCCTTAGTTCATCTAAGGTGGAGAGATGGTAATCGACACTTGGAACCAGATATCTGCAGCCCACCCTTGCATAATAATCACTTGTATAGGTCTATCAAGCTTCTTGTCAAAAGCAAAAGCACAAGCAAGTTCTTTCTCTTAAGATGCCTAGCATGCCCCCACTCTGTCTAGTAAACTCTTGTCTTAAAATATACTGGCCTGCTCTGAGATCCTTTTTTGTGGTAGGTCAAAGAGCCTGCAAAGCCTCACCCCACACCCCACAGCAACACCTTTGGTGCCCAAGCACGGGGCGTGAGAAGCTCAGCAATTGCCCTCACCCCTAGATTTTTTTTTTTTTTTTGAGTCGGAGTCTCACTCTGTCGCCCAGACTGGAGTGCAGTGGCCGCTCCCGGCCACCGCAACCTCGACCTGCTGGGCTCCGGCGATCCTTTCGCCTCAGCCTTCCGAGTAGCCGGAATTACAGGCATGCGCTACCACGCCCGGCTGATTTTTTTGATTTATTGTAGAGATGAGGTCTCACTGCCCAGGCGGGTCTCGAACCCGCGGGCTCAGGCAATTCACTCACCTCAGCCTCCCAAAGGCGCAGGATTACAGGCTGAGCCACCGGGCCCGGCTTTACTCCTAGATTTGAATATGGCCACAGTCTGCCCCTCCCACCCCTGGTCACTGCTGCTTCCACTTTCACTCTTTTTCCTTCTTGGGGTCACTTATGAAACCTCCCCTGTCTTCATGTTTCTGCTTCCTCCAACCAGGCAACTGGTCCTCCCTGACCAGGGACAGATGGAAGTAGGAAGGGGCCTGACCCCTGCATTGTGCAGAATTGAGACTCCTTAAGTGATCCTTCCTGATGGAAGGTACTGAAAGGATGGAAGAAGCAAAACTTCATTCCAGGTAGTGACTGGAAGCGCTCTCTTTTTTTCTCTCATGTCTCACTCTCGCTGTTCTACTAGGAAGGGGAAAGAGTATTTCTACTTGTGATGGGGACAGAAGGTTTTTTCTGGTGTTTGAGCAGCCAGATTGCTCTTATTTTCAAATGCTTGCAGCCAGGTTATTAGAAGCGAGTTTGTCTCTATGATTTGAGCTTTGCTCAGGATAGATTGCAATTATTGGTCCTTGTAAAACTATTGGAAAGTCTCTTAGATATGAACATAGATGTTGTCAAGCCGTTTCTCTAGTCAGGGGATCCTGCTAACTACAGAAAAAGGCCATTCTAATTTACTTTTCAACCAGGAATCCAGGCATTCTAAAAACTAGACAGCGCAGAAAACTATTTTAAAAGTCCATACTTAAATTGTGCTTCCTACAAGTTTACCATATGCTGAAAGGATATAAA